GACTGACTCATAAAAACCTCATCCAAAGTAACAGTAAAATAAAAAGGACCTACACAATAATACTCAATCAAACTGATACAGTATAAGGACTGTGATATCCAGCCATTTCTTAAGTATAACAATAAGATTATGACCTGTTTTTAAAAGAAGATAAAAAGTTGTTTGCATGGAAAGAAGTCTGTAACCCATGCATGTAACTTTACATCTGTTTGTTCAAAGTCTCCTTAAGGTGATCCAGACAGGCTGGACCAGAGGAGGAGAGACAGACCTGGACCAGAGGAGGAGAGACAGACCTGGACCAGAGGAGGAGAGACAGATCTGGACCAGAGGAGGAGAGACAGATCTGGACCAGAGGAGGAGAGACAGATCTGGACCAGAGGAGGAGAGACAGATCTGGACCAGAGGAGGAGAGACAGATCTGGACCAGAGGAGGAGAGACAGACCTGGACCAGAGGAGGAGAGACAGACCTGGACCAGAGGAGGAGAGACAGACCTGGACCAGAGGAGGAGAGACAGACCTGGACCAGAGGAGGAGAGACAGACCTGGACCAGAGGAGGAGAGACAGACTTGGACCAGAGGAGGAGAGACAGATCTGGACCAGAGGAGGAGAGACAGATCTGGACCAGAGGAGGAGAGACAGATCTGGACCAGAGGAGGAGAGACAGATCTGGACCAGAGGAGGAGAGACAGATCTGGACCAGAGGAGGAGAGACAGATCTGGACCAGAGGAGGAGAGACAGATCTGGACCAGAGGAGGAGAGACAGACCTGGACCAGAGGAGGAGAGACAGACCTGGACCAGAGGAGGAGAGACAGACCTGGACCAGAGGAGGAGAGACAGACCTGGACCAGAGGAGGAGAGACAGACCTGGACCAGAGGAGGAGAGACAGACTTGGACCAGAGGAGGAGAGACAGATCTGGAGTCCTAGCAGCAGAGAACTTCAGCACGGATTCCAAGGTACACCTTTTTCATGCTTTACAAAGAATGCATAAAGTAATGACTCCAATACACTGATAGACATGCCATTAAACATGACTGAATACTAGATCACCCACACATCAGTGATGTTGAGTGCACTTTCTTAGCGAAAGGTTACATTTACATTTTACCAAGCAACATCACATAGTGAGAGCTGCGACCCTTTGTCTTTCAGTGAGACAACCGAACAGAGCAAGCTTCCACAGTTGCACTAAGTTTTGATAACAGTTAAATATTATTTTAATAATACATTTATTTCAATGTTGATGAATTTAGAACGGTTTATTCATAATCTGATTATCTTTGTAGTACACTGTTGGATTTAAAAAACACATTCAAATAAAAAATCATTATATTTATGAACAAACAAACACACCTCTATCTTAAATAACACACTTGCTCTGCAATAATATGTTTTTTGATATTTCTGTTAGGAAAGGACACGCCTGAGAGACAGGACTGCTTCACCATGTTCTCTTTCTCTGAGGGTCCAGAAGAACATCCAAGAGGGAAAGGAAAAGCTGATGTGATGAGATTTAAGAGCAGTACAGGACATTCACTAAGAGACACTTGTATTGTAACACAAAGACCTGCACACTGAATAGTTTTGTAGTCTAACAGGAACTTCATTTGTGTTGTTTTGTGTTTTACGTTGCACAGAGACAGTGTGATTATTGTCAGGCCTATAAAGTTTGGCAAAAAAAAAGTCAGCTGATCAAATGCATTTGCACTTTGAGCTTCACATCACTTGTGCCTTGTGCCGCCGAGTTTGGAACGTCATAAATAAATGGTACCAATCTTCAGTCAGATGTGAATGTGTAATTTAACATTTTCAGTAAGGATAACGGACAAAAGGATTGCAAATACAATTTATTGAAATGTGAACTAAAAGTTATCAAGCATGAACCATCACCATTTAAAAAATAAATAAAAACGAAATAATATACATAAGTTACACTCAATGTTAATCTGTTAATTGACAGGCTAGGCGTGTGCAGGTGGTAACAGCTATGCCCACCATGGGCTAAGTTCTGTAGGTGCAGCTGGTGTAAGTCCTCCTCCATCAGGTCTGCAGGGTCTTTCCCTGCGAGGAGGACTCCTCGCAGGGAAAGACCCTCAGCCCTCTCTGGCCAAAGCAACAGACAGGACGTTCATGAAGCTGAGGTCTCCCCCAAAGTCTCTAATCATCCATCCTGTGAATATGAGAGGGGAACAAATAGTGTAATAGATGCTTTGGACAATAAGAAATATAAAGTTAACTGTTGAGTTGCTCAGTTTTTTAGATTGACAGGGTTTAATAACACAAACAAAAGGAGAGAAATAAAGATTGGTCTTTCAATACATTGTGTTGATTTTGTCTTTTGAATTGTTTGTCTAAAGTCAAGTAGCTAGAACTGTTACTTATAGTTTGAATGATACAGTCTGGTTATAATGTGTGGAGGAGGCATCACAGGTAAGAGCACCATTTGTTGTGTTCCATCCACAACACATTGATTTGTGTGTATTTATATATCTACTATTTCTTGAATTATTACTGTCAGTCCAAAACAAGAGATTTTGTTTTGGTAACATTTAAAAAAAAAAAAAACATTATCTCTTTTCCACTACACTATCTTGAATACTTTAGTTTTTACGTCACTACATTTATCTAACAGCTTTAACATTGTAACGGTGTCACTTCGGACTCTGGGTAATTATGACAGCATGTCCTACTCAGAGCCCTAGAGTCTCTCGGGCTCTGGTCCTACTAGTTTGAGACTTTGAACAAACCAGACCTTCATCTATTAATGTAGAAAATAGTCGGCACATTAAACCATTATGAAAGTAATCATTAGTTAGCTCATTGTTCAAATGAGCTCCAACTACAACAGTTAAGTCAACTCGTGCATCGGTAATAACAATAAATCAAATGATATAATATAATAGAATAACTTGTGTCTACTTTAAATACTCTAACAACACTTGTTGCTAATTATACTAGCATACTTTTACTAAAGTAACATTAACATGTTTAAATGCAGGGCTTTTGTAAGAGAGTATTTCGTATAGTGTAGCATGGTCTACTTGACTTATCTAACCGAAGTGATCGTTACGTTACTTTGCAAACCGTCCCCCCCCCCCCCCCCCCCCACACACACACAAAAGGACACGGTAACGTTGTGATTCACTTCAATTAATGATAACTACGGAGCTTGCTAACAGCAAGGCACAAGGCTACTTCACTCATTTAGCTAATGTAAGATACAAATGCTGTCGAGCCCTCACTGCTTGTAAGATAAAGAGCACAAACTGACTACTTACCCGAGCGGCGAGCCCCGCTGTTCTCCGTCATTTTTTCTCCCGGGTTGTTGTGATCACATGACTGACAAAGCCGTGCTCTGATAGGCCAAGTCAGTTTGATTGCATTAGGGCTCGATTGCTTATCCTGTCTGAGTAGCCCGGATGATGCTGCATCGCAATTTTTGACATCGAATTTTATACACCGAATTTTTTGACATCGAATTTTTTGACGTCGAATTTTTGGGATCTGAATTTGAACATTCGAATTTTTTTCACTTGAATTTTTACATTTTTATTTCACATAGGTAAATTCGGAGCAAAAACATTCAGATACATGATTTTCAAAGTAATTATTTTCAATGCTATAAATTCGGTGTCTAATACAATTCGAATACTTCTGTCTCTTGTTTGCTTCCATAACAGAGCCTTCTCAGTGGCAGCTCCTAGGCTCTGGAATTCCCTCCCCCAAGATCTCCGTGACTCTGAGTCCCTCACAGTCTTTCAGTCCCGCCTCAAAACACATCTTTTCAACTCTGTCTACCCATAAGCCCCCCCCCTCAATTAACTTCCTCTTGACTGCCTTTTTATTTTTTACTTACTTGTTTGCCTGTCCTTGTTTGTCTACCCTCCCTCATACTGTAAAGCGTCTTTGAGTTGTCAAAAGCGCTATATAAATAAAATGCATTATTATTATTAATATAAACCAGGAAGACATCATTTATATTCAGAAATAAGACAAAGCAATGTTTGTTGGCCTTCTTTGAGAAAACAGAATAACTTCGAAGAGAAAAGCAAGAAAAAACAGCATGTTCATTGTTTCTCTCTGCGTTCTCCTCTGCATGTTGTTTTTATTCTCAGTCTCCTATCTGCTTATACCACTGATTCAATTTCACTCTGTGTCTCTTCCCTTTCCACTTTGCTTTACATCCTTAAATTCATAAGTAAAATCAGAGGTGTGTGTGCTTCCCTGCACACTGAGCAGGTTCTGAGGATGGTTCTGCTCAAGCTGCATAAATAAGACAAACAAAGTGTGATTCTCCAATCACCTCCATGGGTAAAAGCAACCTCTGACTGCGCTGCCGAGCAAATAGAGTTTTGATGCTCTTGCGCTATTTGAATCTATTTCAATTAGGTAATATGCATACGTTTGGTGTAATATTGGCCCCTTTCTATGCAAATGAGCCTCATTGTTAATACCATCCAATTCACACAGATCTGTCCTAACCGCCGAACAGAGACACAGTTATATCATTAGCATCTTCAGAGGGTTGGCGGGTCATCCAAGCACATTTATAGTGAAGGTTTACGATGTTAAATTCCAAATAGGCTGTCAGCCTGTCTCATTTAAATTCCTTGCCAGAAGTTTTGAGGGATAGCTTTACATCAAGTCGGTCCAGATCTGCAGCTTGCTCGGAATATTTCATTTGTATTATCCTCTCTGCCTCTCTGCCTACTGTTTTCTTGGCACAAAGGAAACATTTACTTGTTTGTCTCATTGAAAGTTTCACTCGCAAAAAAGAGCAAATTGCACTCAGCTACCAAACCTAATGGCTGTGCTGGCAGTGCATCATTAGCACAACTTGTTTTGTAATTTGGATCTGGAGGCAGGGCAGAAGGTGGGAGCAAATTGAGCAAAATGTATGGTGCTATCAGCAGCCAATATTCATTCTTTGTGAAATTAGCCGTGTTGCCCTAAGTACATGAAGTGTGAAGTGTGTTTTTCTGTCTCCTGTCCTTCAGTCTCACCGACAGTGAAGCTGGTTTACCCTATGACAAGGAGTCTATGGCCATCATCCACCTGAACAACACTACAGTCATGTACCTGAAGGAGGTCACCAAGTTCCTCGCCATGGTCTGCTTCCTCCGCAAGGAAAGCTTTGAGAGGAAAGGTCAGTCCGTTTACAATCAGTACATTTAAATGCATTATAGGAACTGTCAGTGTGTTTTAATCAATCAATCAAAGTGTATTCATATTGCCCAATTTCACAACTTTTACATTTTTCTCAGTGGACTTTACAGTTTGTACAGAATATGAACCTGACACCCTCTGTCCCTGGACCCTCACATTGGACAATAACAAACTTCCAAAGAAACCCCACAGTTAACCTCTGCCGCCGGCGGAGGCTATGAGGCTGTGTCTCAGGGCTTCTTAACCTGTTATGCCCCATGGGCCCCGCGGGCAGGGGCAAAAACGCAACATCTGCAAGAAGCAGCGTCTGAGGGCTTCTTAACATTTAACAAACTAGGAATGTGTCATACCCACTTAACGGGAAGAAACTCAGCTATCAGACAATATTAACAATTTTTACCGAAATAAAACACAAGCCTCTGAATTAGCACTAAGAGAAAGAATGCTAACGCAATTAGCACATAACTCACGTTAGCGATCTTTTATACTTCATCGGATCTGCACAAGATATCCTCTGAAAGCTGAGATTCCACAGATTCCAATGGTATAAATATCATCACTGAGCAATCAAACCTCACGGCAGCGAATGCAAAACCAGACAACACACAACGGGACCAAATCGGCAAATAGGTCTTACCTTTGCTGTTTTCTGATCAAAAGTTGTGTTCAATGGCATTAAACACATAAAGACGCTGCTGAAGGTTAATCCAATGTGTCTGTGTCACTTTGAAATGATTACTGATAATCCATCATCATATTTATGATAAATAAGCCTAGTTTTCAGTTTTCAGAGCGTAACACAGCTTTCGGTTTGGGCAAACTGCGTGCGCATCACTCTCACTTCTCAATGGTAACGTGTAGGTGGATTTAGGATCTCCCCCTCGATTTGATTGGCTCTAACGGTTAAAAAGAGGTGTCAATCACCAAAATCGACCAATGGGTTCCAGAGAAACAACAAATACACTCAAATGACCCCAGAGGTGGTTTCTTTTTCTAAATCTCTCTAAAAAGGTCACATTTCACTTGTTTTGCATCAATCTTGATACAGGGTACTTATTATATGTTGTAGTTTGGATTCCTAAAGCTTTTAGTCTACTATCCCATCATTCAAGGGTGGTTTTCACTATAAGTAATGTTTTATTTTTGGACGGACACAATAATTTACATTTTTTTACTATGTTCAATCTGAATTTACTTTAGAATAGAAAAAATCTGTATTGATTCTGAATTTTCTACATCCAACTCACAGGTTTATCATTGCGTTGAGAAAAAATATTATTAATTTACCCCTTTTGCAAGTGAAGATATAGTGTTGGAGTCGGAAGGGCTGATCATTTATTCCGGCAAATTACTCGGACCTACTAATTGACCTAACAGAAGTTATTGAGTCTATGTAAGTTTACTGCTTGGCTCGGATCCACCAACGTCAGCAAAATCTCACCTCTATTAACTCCTGGAGAACCAGGTTCAATTAACTGCTGTTTCAATTCAGACGACCCGCTAAATCTGTTTAAGCGATCCCGAAGGATTTTGATATCAGTAAGGAGGTGTGGCCCTACCTAAGTGTGATTGTGGCAAGGCAAGGCAAGGCAAGTTTATTTATATAGCACTTTTCAACACAAGGCAATTCAAAGTGCTTTACAAAAAATGAAAGAGATTAAGAAAATGGCATTTAAAATCAGTCAAGGCAGGGTGCAATCTTACCTTTGAAGCAGGAGAGGAGACCACAGATGTCTTTTAAGTTGTCCCAATCCAAAAGGTGGGATCAGTTTATTTGAAGAACAATTGGTCCAAACTAATACAGGGTTTCTACCTTCTCTCGTTACAACATGACAATCCTACAAAACATATCATGCTGTGGTCATGTTCTAATATGAAACCTCAATTCACAGTTTTACATTTATTACACTAAATTGTAACTTCCACTGCCCAATTCAGTTGTGATATTTAAATCTCCCGATAGAATTTAGAGGCATCTCCTCATAAACGACCGGTGATAATAAAAAGCACATTCAAACTTTCATTCACCAAATCAATTCACATAAATTCCACACCTATCTCCGCATGAATTTGGAGGAATTTCCTCACAGGTGGCGGGACACTAAACATTCACAAACACACACCTATTTCCGCATGAATTTCCTCACAGGTGGTGGGACACTAAACATTCACAAACACACATCAATTCATTCCGCTCATTCAACCAAGAAATTCACTCCGCATTCAACAAAGAAATTCGTGAGATATTTACCAAGTTTGAGAGAACCTTACAGAGAGCAAAAACCCAGCTCTGAAGCTTTTCCCCTCTCACCCAGTGTTTTTAAGCTGAAAACAGGACAGAAAACCCAAGACACAACTTCTCATGCTTATGTAACAAAAGTTCATGACCTCTAATGTGCAGAACTAAAATATTATTCTCGGCTATGGAAAAAACACCTTTTTGGGGCCTCAGTTCTTTTTCACTAAGTCAGGAGCCCCCCTCCTTGTGCACCGCTGTAGGAAGAGGGAATAAACTGCCTCCTCTCTTATCAGTGACACCCATAAACCATTATAGGCCTTACACTCAACTTAAAAAAACACATTGTCTATACTGTAAATATAGAAAATCATAAAATATGAAGCATTTTCATTTTGGGTTATACAAGAATATAATTGACTATATTTGATTAAAATTAACTTTTGTTTTAAGTATTCAACCTAATATGGAGATCTCAACAATAGTCATTTGTTCTGGGAATGTAATTTTCGAGCCTGAGACCTGAACAACAGGCTCAGGGCTTAACAGGTTAATAGCATTTTTACAAAAAAAAAGCCCATGCGAGCCTAACATGTGAAAAAATGTCTTAGACCTCAGAGAGTTAAACTTGGACCTGCGACCATAGTTTTACTGTATTTTGTTTTGAAAATCCACAGCGGAGGTTTGTGTCGTACTACATGCGGTGTATTTTGCATATCTCTCAGTAGCCAACGATCTGTGAGTCTGTTGGCTAGGACATAAACTCCCTAATAAATGTAGTCTACATTTCATAAGAGGTGTAAAACCAGAGCATTTTAAATCGCATTTGAACGAAATGCTTATATAATCTGTAGTTGTATTTGTATTGTTGATTTAATGTGTGAACGAGGCGATATAGAGAATGTTAAGCTGTCATTATTAGGCTGTAATTTGTTATACTGTTGGAATGGTAAGCAGGCCTATTGTTTTTGGATATTTGGGGAGTTAGGTGGTTCGCGAGTGTTTTTTTATTGGTCAAGTAGTCCTTGGTATGAAAAAGTTGGAGAAACACTGCCCTGGACTCATCCTCAAGCAGTAAGGCTCTCTTGTGGACTTTTCCAGCAGTAACCCTTTCTCGTGGAATTCTTCTCCAGCGGTTGTGAACCCGTGGACTGGTCCTCCAGCGGTGATTCTCTCTGTTGCTGTTAACAGCATTCCCACTAAATTACTATCTGTTCTTCTACGCACAAAATTCTTTATTATTATTATTCCGCCCGTTATTTTTGCCGGTCTTCTCCTCCCGCATTGAACATCGCAGAAACTCCGTTCAAACATCAAAACGTTCAGCTCGGTCGGGAATCGATGGCTATTACTTTTCTCATTCATAACTTTCATAATTCCAGAGATACATCCCATAATTCATCACATTTTTAACATTGAAGTCAATGGAGAAATTCTTCAACTTCAACAAATCTTTGTGCGACTTCAACTGCTATCTGTTCATTCATACTTTCACTCAGAAAGCTCATTCCAACTTTAAAATGTTACACATCTTTCTGACATTATTCGTGTAAAACAACTTTTAAATCTGATTCTTACTTTTAGAGATATTAAACATTGTTCAGACCTTGGTACAGAGGCTTTCTTCAGATTTTAACATTAACTAGAGTGTGTGATGTCACAGCTAGAGTGTAGGAAATCTTGAAATGTGCCTTCATATATTTGTTTTAAACTGCCATAATTCCCAAACCCTACATTCCTGAGACATAATTTATCATAACAAACGTAGGAAAACATCTCGTAGCTTGAAAAAGGACAAATAATTAAGCAAAAACAATTCAACAAAATGCCGTTTGAGGGCATGAAGTGACAAAAACGTTCAACATGCCTCCATTAAAGCCCATTGTAATTTCAGGCAGATATTTCCTCACAGCAGCAGCCGCACACTTTTAGTTAAACTGCCAAAAAGGCCACATTATTAACCCGAAAGTACACAAAAATGACACTTCAGATACTCAACTTCCTTGACATGCTTCACGCTTTGAAATTTCACAGATATCTGTTACGGTTCTTCCACAAAACGTTCACATGTAAGAGGTTTATCTCTCATTCAGAACAATGGAAACCTGTGATCTCTGCACACCTCGTTAGCTCAAAATATAAACACCTGTGTCATGGAACACGATGATGTCATCACTCCAACTGACATGCTCAGAGCAGCAGACTTCAGATAAAGGTTAATGGTCATGCCCTCAACAGCTCTACGTCAATTATGGGGTGTCATCAATTATGGGGTGTCATCATCATATGCCGTTTCCATGGAAGATCAAGAGAAGAGACAGAGGGCGATCAAGAGGAGAGAGAGAGGGTGATCAAGAGAAGAGAGAGAGGGTGATCAAGAGAAGAGAGAGAGGGCAATCAAGAGAAGAGAGAGGGTGATAGAAGAGTGAGAGGGTGATCAAGAGAAGAGAGAGAGGGCAAGCAAGAGAAGAGAGAGAGGGTGAGCAAGAGAAGAGAGAGAGAAGAGAGAGAGAGGGTGATAGAAGATTGAGAGGGCGATCAAGAGAAGAGAGAGAGTAATGTAACCTCCTAATGTAAAGTATAACTCCTATGAAAATGTTCAAAAAGTGCTCACACTTCACATGTGTGCTAACAGTCCAGCCGTGAAGACATCTACGGGACATTTTTGAGATTTATTCAAATGCCGTTGCCATGTCAACACAATGCTCACCATGAAACACGGTTTTCTCATAACTTCAGTGAAAATGCTCGAAATGGCGACAGATCATTCGCCATCAAGTTAGTTCAAAAGTTTGCAGTTCAAATATTCTGCTGCTTTTCCAAGCCTTTTTACTTTCTTTTCTTCTCTCATCACACATTCAAGCCCCCAGTGTTCATGTATTTCAATCTAAATGATTCACTTTCTTCTTACACATTACATTTCAGCATAGCAGTTTAGCGTAAGCTTTTCAGCATAAAGCATTCCCACTAGCAATTTCTTCAGGAATTGCATTCTCTAGTTGATTTTATTACCCATCTTAAGACTGTACATATATTGGGTAAATCAAATCCTTATTTTTGCACCTCAACCTGCATTCCTGATTTTTGCGTACCCTGGTCCTTCACAGAAGGCATTTACACTCTGTCAAAGATGCTTTTGTGGAAGAAGAAATATCTTGTTTAAAATCAGTAAAGTTCCTCTTTCAGGAATTGATTTCGTTTTTTGTTTATATAGGACTAAATTGACCTTAATGTTTTACAAAGATCCTTCAGTCTTACCCTGTAATTGTCTTCTCGTCCCTCACAGGACTGATTGACTACAACTTCCACTGCTTCAAGAAGGCCATCCAGGAGGTGTTTGATGTTCGAGTTCAGGTTCAACAAAACCGTAAACTCCTCAGTCAGAGGAGGTGGAGCAAACTCTCTATGACCAATGGAGTGCTGAGCAACCCCCACTGATGACATCACATCAGACAGCCAAATGAACCCTGACACATCCTGGAGACTCCGTCCTGGTCCAGGTGATCCTCTGAGGCTCCTGGATCTGCTTGATCATGTTTCGTTTTTTTATCTTGCTGGGAAACTCAATCCACATCAAATCCACATCAAATCCACCTCCATCGTCTCTGTCCTCAGAAGCAGTTTGTCTACAGCACAGAGGACAATCTTTCATTTGATCTGGAGGACTTTTTCTACACAGTCTTTTGAGTAGACTCAACAAGAAGTACATGCAGATTCAGTGACTTTATCTCTCTGTAGCAGGCGGCAGCAATGTGCGTCCCATCAATCCTTATACCGTTAATAAGTAAACTCATAAACAGCAAGTTATTTCCTGATTTGATTTGCAAATTAAGAGATTTTAGTCAGAAAAATGTGATGTGTATATAATATAAAATGACTATGTATAATATGTTTCGTTTGATATTCTATGAAACAGTCCATAAACACTTTCTTTATTTCATGTGAGTTAACATTGTTGGTTAATGATGCTAAAACCTACTGTATATCTGACTCAATCTAATAGGCATTATTGCAATACAACCCTAAAATTAACACATTTACCAGACTTTTACTCAAGTACACTGAAAAGCTTCATTTCATCAGGACTTAAAACTTTTTTTTAGGAAAAGTGGGGTTATTTTTACATTCATTTAAATGTTCTGAAACATGTTTCACCCCCCATCAGCAATAATTACATCTGATATGACCTGCTGTTCTTCCCGAAACTCTGGTTTTCCTGTTTTTACATTATTCAGGGTAACTTTATTAACAGCTTAAATGTCATTCAACAGAATTGTTCATTACATAAAATAATATGCAATAATACACCATATCCTAATAAAGACAACATCCTTTGGCTAAATTGATCACTTTTACTGTCCAATTCGAATGTATATTTACAACAAATCACAGCTTTATAAAAAATGTCATATCTATAATTCAAATCTAGGAACGTGGTCAGCTGCACCTCACCACTGAGCATGTTTCTGCTTCCTCCCTGCTCAAGAGTTCTGATAGTATTTTCAAAAATGTTAATGAAGGCGACCCGGGACTGTATCCACTCGGGTTTGGAGGTTTTTCTCTTGTATTTATTTTAGGCCAGCCTTTAACCTGTTAAGCCGAGAGACCCCGGCAACATCTTGCAGGAAACAGTGTCAGAGGGCATGTTCATTTCATAAACTATGAATGTTTTATATCCATGTAACGGAAAGAAACTCAGCTAACTGATCTTTTTTTTCCTTTTCTTTTTTTTAAAAACCCACAATGCTAACTCTGAATTAGCAACCAGCGAAAAATGCTAACAGATTTACTGCACCGAAACTCACTCATAAAACCTTATTATTTATCCATTCTGCACATCCAACCCATCGATCTGATCGTGAGATGACACAGAATCGATGGGTACCGACATTATCACTCAATGATATGAACTCGAGAATTTATCAACAAAAACAGACATCAAAAAATGTGGCAAGTAAAAAAAAAAGGATAATTATAGTTTTTTTTATTAAAAAACTATAATTTACAGTTTTTTACTATGTTCAATCTGAATTTTCTTTAAAATAAAAAACATCTATATTGATTCTGGCTCTTCTACATCCAACTCACAGGTGTAACCTTGCTTTGAGAAAAAAGATTATTCATTTAACCCTTTTAGAAGGGAAGATATGGTCATTTATTCTGGGAATGTCGTTTTCGAGCCTGAGCCCTGAAAAACAGGCTCAGGGCTTAACAGGTTAAGCGTTTGTGGCACCACTCGTTTGAGATCCTGCTTTTATTTAAATAACGGCTTTATGTATCTATTGACGTTTGTGATTAAATATATTTTAACATGATGCTGTGCCTGTTTCTTGAGCTTTATAAGTACAAGTACAGTAGAAAAGGAACATTGACCCTCAGTTTCTAAGCCAACACTGTTGAGGAATAATTTGCTTAGGTATTCAACCTTTGACACAGTACATCATTTTCTCCTTTCTCCGTCTCTTTTCCCACGGCACTGGTCTACGGCCTTGGGTATTGCTGCTATCTCTCTTAAGGAGGGGCAGCTTGGGCGCATTGTTGTTGACAGCTTATGACCGAGCACAAGCCGCCATGAGATAGTTTATTGTTCAGGGACATCTAGAAGCCCTTCTTTTTAGAAACGTAGGTTCCCTGGCGCACAGTCTTTTCTATGGATGACAGCTCTAGTTGGATTCAGGGTCCATATTTGTTTAGTCTCGCTGATGAAGAATGTTGATTATTACACTCCAAACTGTAATAGTCCTTTATGCTATATACTGTAGTTGACTGCAGGTCATGGAGAGTAATAAGGTATCCGTAGACCTTTGTATGAGGCATCTTTATTTACGTAACAGGTCTTCAGCCATGATACATAGATGCGTCCTAGATGCGGGCTTGCATACACACCGTATCACTCTGCAGCCGCACCCCATCAGTAACGTCCTGATGGTATATGTGTGCGGCACTTTATACTACATCCTCCTTTCTTACAATGAAAGTTGCATATAACATTTGCTGTAGTAAACATTCTATAACGGTCTCAATATCAACATTGTTCACTTGTTAACATATGAATATATGAAATTATATTTTGTATGAACATTAACATGTCAACTTAGAATCAGTGTATATCACTCCAACATCCTCATATAAACATGAATCCTGTATATAAACAACACACCTTACTCTTCTCTTCTTTTTTTAGCAAATAGAGTAAGGATTTTAACGTATTAACTGTCTTAGCACAACCTTTAGCCTGAGCTAATTAGGAAATCTTTGTATCTCTCAGGTGGTCGAATAAGTCGGCCACATCCTGTTCTTCTTGTGCTCTGCGGTGATGACATTTCACATTCAACAATCTCTGATGTGTCTGCATCTGGCGTGCATAGTTGATTGTCTTCAGGTAAGTCAGGTTCTGGGTCCATTTGGGCGTTGTGTGGTGTTTTCCTCAGATGTCTCCTGTTGCGCCTGTAGTGCTGACCTGAAGATGTGACAACATCATAGGAACATGGCTCACCTCTCTGTGCAGTGACCAAAGCTGGACGCCAACCCTGTTCAGTCTCCATGTGAACAGTACTTCCTGGTTGCAGCTCAGGAAGCGGCCTCGTTTCTCTGTCATAATACTGCTGCTGCCTCCTCTGTAGATTCTCGAGAGTCGAGTGAGCATCCTTAGGCACAGCAGGCTGAAGCACCACGGTGGAGCTCGGTAAGGTGCTCCTTAGCACTCTCCCCATGAGCATTTGTGCGGGTGAGTATTGCATGCCTGTTACAGGTGTGTTTCTCAGGATGAGCAGGGCAAGATGAGGGTGTGTGTTCGTTAGTTGTGCTTTTTTAAGAACATGTTTAACAGTGTGTACGGTCCTTTCAGCCAGACCATTGGACTGTGCATAGCCTGGGCTGGAAGGAGTGAGTTTTATGCCCCATGATTCTGAAAAGTTTCTCATTTCTTGACTCGCGAATGGGACATGGTCACACACTATCTCTTTTGGTATTCCTATCCTGGAGAAGACTGATTTCATTTTCTTAATGACAGTGTGTGAAGTCTTGTCGTTAATGTTAAGCACCTCAGGATATTTTGACAGGTAGTCGACCATCAATAGGAATGATTGTCCTTTTATTTCAAAGAGGTCAGCCCCTATATTGAGCCAAGGAAGCTCAGGAATGTCGTGTGAGATCAGAGGCTCCCTCTGGTTTCTGGAACTGCTGACATGTCCCACAATTCTCGAGCATTTGTTCTATCTCTCTTGACATACCTGGCCAGTACCAGTGCCTTCTGGCAAGTGCTTTTGTCCGCTGCATTCCTTGATGAGCCACATGTAATGTTTGCAGCATGTCACTTCTCATCGAGCAAACATGATCTCCTCTATTACTGAGGGAGTATGTCTGATAGGCCAATATTGAACCAGTCTAGTGTGTAATTGTTTTCTGTGTTGTGGCCAGCCCTGTCTGTGTGTTTCCTGCTGTAGTATTTCATCATTAGCTGTTCCACTTTTGAGCTTTTGCAGCATCTCAGTGCTCAAAGCATCTGTTGGCTCCAGAGCATAGACAACTTTCTCATCTGTGATGTCATCAACTGTTGAGTGTTCATCATGTGTGACAGCTCGTGAGAGTGGGTCTGCAATCAGTAGGTCTTTACCTGGTGTGTAGATGACATTCAAGTCATATCGCTGCAGCTGGAGGAGCATCCGTTGGAGTCTGGAAGGAGCTGCTCCAAGCGGCTTTCTCAGAATGCTTTCCAGAGGTTTGTGGCCTGACGTGCACTTTCACTTTCCACTTTCAATCCGTACATGTACTGATGGAACCTCTTAACAGAGAAGACAATTGCTAACAGTTCCATTTATATTTGAGCTAGGGCTGGGCGATATGGCCAAAAAAAGAAATCCCCGATTTTTTCACAAAAAATCCGATTTACGATATAAATAGATTTTCTCCCCCCCCCCCCCCCCCCCCAATTAATATGCAGATGAGTAATTGTTAAAAAAAATAAAGTATTTTGATTTTCCCCCTTGGGGTTAAAGTGCAATCAAGAACAACTAGCCAACAAGACAATATGGCAGGCCCTGCCATTGTAAACAGTGAAAATGTAACATAACATAAAATGTAACATACAATATTTCTTTCAACACAAGTTGAACATCTTGCTATTAGGTAGTTCTGATAAAGTGCCAACAAAACATTCAACAGCATTAATTATCAGTGCATGAGAGCATAAGGTGTTTTTTTGTTGTGCTGTTTTAGTTTGAATATCCTCTTTTCTAAAGATTCTTAGCCAGGAAGACAAGCTTGTCTACCACCTCTGGCTTTAGACATGCCCAGTGGCATGTAACAATGCCCCCCCCCCCCCCACACTGAAAACCCTCCCTGAGGGTGCACTTGTTGCTGGGATTGAGAGGTATGTTTTTGCCAGGATACTTAGCCTAGGGAAATTGGGTTGGTGGCGCTTCCACCACTCAAGAGGATTGGTGTCTGGGTCTACCTCAGGGGTCAATAAGAAAGATTTCAGCTCAGTCTCTATCTTTTCTACCTCTGACTGGTTGGGAGTTGACACTGGATTCTTTTTGAAGAAGGCTGCTAAAGTCATCTTTTTCCTGGGTGGAGGCTGTGCATCTTCTTGGCGCACCTGCACAGCCGTGCCAGGCTGCTGTGGTGTACTGTTGTTGGCAGGAGCAGGTAGAGACATCATCTCAGCAACAGCTCTTTCTTTGACTGGTTCCACCTTGTCTGGGTCAATGTAGGTTGTGCGGAACCTTGGGTCAACCAGTGAGGACATGTCCAAGAGTTCATCTTTTACAGGGTCGCTGTATTTGTCGTCAAGGTACCGCATTATTTTTCCTTTTATTGTTTTCGTGAGCTCTGCGTCTTCCTCCTCTGGCTGTAGGAGACTGGTTTTGAACAGATGGAGCACTGGTTTGATGTATGAAACACTAACATAAGACTCCCCGGAGAGCGCATCAGTGAATTCTTGGAGTGGTTTTACAGCTTTATTTATCGACTCCAACACATCCAGATCTTGCCAAGTGGGCACAAGATGGCGACTTTTCTTGTCCGAACCCAGGACACGGACTACAGCCTTCTCCTGTTCGAGAGATCTCTCAATCATTCTTTGGCGTGAACCCCATCTGGTCGGGGACTCTGTTATCAGCTGATGAGTGGGTAGACCAAGCTCTGCCTGTACTTCACTCATGTCTCTTCTTTTTTTTCCAGCTGTAAGAAAAGGCAGACACAGCCTTTTTACATACCCCAATAGGACGATTGATCCGTGGGTCCTTCACACCATTCTCTGTAGTAAATGAAGAATACATAATCAAAACACATTTTAGTGGAACATACCACTACATTCACAAACTTGTCTTGCTTCAATTTCTGCAAAATATTAATGCACAAAGGACACACACACACACACACGTGTATTCATACACATTTTGTCAAAAATATTGGCTTGATATAATGCATTAATTACATGATGCATTAATTAGACTGTCTTGCGAATGGGAAAAATGTCACTTTGTAGTGAATGTGAGATTCCTAATTCACCATTATCTTTCAGTGTGTTGTGTTTCATGTTTTACATGCACAGTCGTGATGTTGTACGTTTAGCTGTTAAGTGACCACGGCCCCTTTAAGACGAGCGGTATGTCTTTCATGTCATTCACAGAAATAAACGACTCAGGCACTTGCGTGGTCAACGTGAGAAATAGTTTTGCCTCATTCTTCACGCAATTTCCACAACTTGATGCATAGCCATTAGACTTACTTACCGATAGCATTGTGCAATCTGTGTCCAAAGCACTGGAGGTTGGGCCACGCATTGTCCTTCAGAGCTTTAATCATGTTGCTGCCGCTGTCAGTAGTCATGCAAATGAGTCGGTCTTCGGCAAGGTTCCATTAGTTTAGGGCATCTTTTAGCCCCTGGGCTATAATTTCACCTGTGTGGTCCTCTGGAAAGTATGCCGTTTGGAGGCAGACGCTCCGCAGAGTCCAGTCGTTGTTAATAAAGTGCACAGTAAGACTCAT